TGGCCCAAAGCCTTGGGACCCTGTATTCACATGGGAGGCCAGGAAGAAGCATCTGGCTTCGAATCAGCACCGCTCATAGCCACTTGGAGAGTGAATCAGCAATTGGAAGATCTTCCTCTCTGCCTCTTCTGCTTTCTGTGTACCTGTCTTCCCAATAAAAATAAATAAGCCTTTTAAAAAAAATAGGTGCAGGGACCCCAAGAATTCAGGCTATCCTGCCGCTTTCCCAGGCACAGGGATGCTTGCATATAATATCTCTAATAAGTATTAACTTGAAGAAATAAATGTTAATACATATTCCCTAATTTAGAGAAAGATTAATTAGCTCAAAGATACATAGCCAATGCAAAGAAAGACTTTTCCATTCCATAATGCCTGATTTCTAAATAATTCTTCCTCTATGTTAAGAGAGAGCTGGCTTTGGCCCTTCTATAATCTCCTGATCTAACTGCTCACAAACATACTTGCTCTCAAAAAAGCAGAGGGAAGCTACAATCCAGGGAGATGAAGACAACTGATCCCATATATCAGCTTCACCTACAGAAACATTATTTGCAGGGCTGGTGGGAGGCAGGGGGTTGCGTACAACAGCAAGAATTAATGAGATGTTCTAATCACTTGGCTCACTACTCAACTAGCAATAATGAGTGTAGATCTGAGCCAGGCTAAAGGCAGAAGACAGGAACCCCATCCTGGACTCCCACATGGGTGGCAGGGTGCCCAAATACCTGGAACATCTTTTGCTGCCTTTCCAGTGTAGTTGTAGGAAGCTGGCTTGGAAGTGGGATAGTTGGGACTTATACCAGGACTCAGACATAAGATATCAGTATTTCATTTGGCTACTTAAGCCACTGCAACAAATGCCAGTGCCAAGCAATTTTCTTCTCATTTGTTCTATTAGAGCTCTTTAAAAAAAAAAAAAGGAAGAAAGAAAGGAAAAGAAAAAAGCATTTAAGGAAGGGTTCCTACTGCTTAATACTGAAAAAGCCCTATTCTGCAGAATTCCAATGTATGAAATTATAAGCCCAGACTTTTGAAACACCTCACTGTTTTTAAATCAGGACACGAAACTGCTTTTCTCTCCCAACTAAATAAAAGTTTCGAAAACTGAATGTGTATTAGACTGTATGACTTGGCCATATGATGCTCCAGTTACTACAGCAAATGCTAGAAGCTACAAGCAGAAGATTCATCATTCACATTTCTAGTTTCTGTGCTGACTTCTACTAGCTAACCTGGCTATCCCTTGATTGTTCATATTCCTAGTAGTTTTTAAAAAGGCAGGGTGAAGTACAATAAAACAGACAATCACCAAAAATAGAAATACCATTAAGTTACACTGTGGTAAGTGAAAACAATAACCTAATATTATACTCACATCCCTTGCCTCTGGACATGGGGTAGCTTAACCAGCTGCTGTTTCAAAGTTAAAAGTAATAGAATAGGTAAGGATATTATGAAGTAAAATAATACGCAGTAAAAGAATATATAAATAATCACTGTATATTGGTAATATGAGGGTAATGAGAGGCTGTGAGGAGTTTTTTAAGAGATCTAAAACATAATAAAAATATAAACAATTATGTATATATCTAAGTAAATATCTGGAGTAAGATATGTGAGACAGAAGTCAAAGACCAGCTAATCACAATAAATATTTTTTTTTTCTTTTGGCTATTAAGATTTTTTTTTTAATTATGTGAAAAGCAAAGTTACCAAAAAAAAAAAGGAAGAGATCTTCTAACCACGGGTTCATTCCCTAAAGGGTGTAATAGCAGAAACCAGGCCAGATACTCTAATTTTCCCTTTTCCCACATGGGTGCAAGGGCCCATGTTCCTAGGCCATCTTCAAATTGCCTTCCCAGGCACATCAGCAGAGAGCTGGGTTGAAATAAATGGAGTATGGGATGCTGGCAAGGTATTCAATAGTTTAACCCACTTGTACCTCAGTGTTGGCCTCAATTTCTTTTTTTCTTTGTAACAAGGTCTCCATCAGAGTCACTAGGTTTCTCTAATCCCACCCTCTATACAATCTTTGGGAAATGGATCTCAAATTTTTCTTGTGCCAAAATTTAATTCCATTTTCTATAACTTTTTGTGAGGTATCTTTATAGAGAATTTTTATTTTTTAAATATCAGGGTAGAATTATAGCAGTTAGCCAACTCATGCATGAGCATTATATGCTTATGTCAGTTTGGGTCCTGACTATTTTACTTTTGGTTTAGCTCCCTGCTAATATACTTGAGTCCCAGCCACCCATATGATATAGTCTTGGATGAGTTCCAGATTCCTGGTTTCAGCCTCGGCCAGCCCCACCCATGATGGGTATTTGGGGACTACATAAGCAAATGGAAAAATACTTCTCTGTCCCCCCTCTTGCCCCCCCCATTACTCACTCACAGACTTCCGAGTAAATAAATGTTTTTTTTTTAATTTTCATGTAAATTCCAACTCATTTAATGAAGCTTCCTTCTATAATCTAAAAATTGTCTCTTGTTTTTTTCATCCTCATATTCCCTCAACCCAACTCCTAACAGCCTCCCTATACTGCCTTTAGGTTCATAGTCTTATCACCAAATCTCCCTCTAAAAATTTTCCCTACAAAGAGAAATTTTCTGAACACTCAATCTCTTTGTGAAGGGTTCTTTTTATTGCCTTGTGCTAGAGAAAACCTGGATCTCACCCAAAAGCATTGTTTTCCTGTAACCCTCTGAAATGAAGACTGATCTTACTCCTTAACATTCGAAAATTAGAAGGCAATATTGTTAAAATGTTGGCTTTCCACTTTCTTAGTTTCATCCAAGTCTCCTTCCTCCCTGAACCAAACTATCCACCTTGTCAATGACATCTCTCCAATCAGAATCCTCCCAAGAACGACTACAACTTATGACCCACACAGGTATCTGTCTACTAGGCAGCTCTACTTACATTTCCACTTACAATAAATTATGCGTCTAATTTTAAAAACATGTGTAATTGTTAAAACTCCCACACCTAGAAATAATGTTCCTTTAACACATTTTTAAGATTTCATCAACATTTAGATTCTCTAATAAACAACAGTAGCTCTTTTCATTAATCTTTTTCTGGAGAGTATAATGGAAAACAAACAACCTGAGTACTTGGCCCTAGAACAAAACTCATTTTCTTCTTTCAACAGAAATTTGATACAAATTTACTACTTGGTATCTGAAACAGTATTTTTACTCGTGCCAGCAGAATTTGGAAAAAGTGGAGATCATACATAGGACAGGCAGAAAATGTCTATGGTGATTAAAGGATTATGGGAAGTCTTAAACCTGTCTGTTGATGCATTATCTTCAGAAACTCTCCCTTATTCTCAGTCATATATCATAACCTTTCCTTCATTTTCTTTGATAGAGCTATCCAAAATTAAGACGGATCTTCTTTCATTAAGGAACATTTACCATACTCAAGAAAAATGCAAAAAAAAATATTACAAAGTAGATTCCTTTTCACAAAAGGCAAAGTTACACTGTCCTGGCTATCAGCTATTATTAATGATTTCTCTCTATCTGCAACAACGATTAAGACTAATAAAAACTGTGTGCAGCAGCAACCGGGAAAGAACCATGCTTTGAGGTACACAACTCATAGCCAGTTAGGTGTCATCCTAAGGCAGGATTAAATCAAGGTAAAGTAGCTGACTCTGAGGGACCTTTCCATAACACCCAAGCTGGACAGGTAAGCCACTAAGTGTACTGCATTAAAAAAAAGTCTGACATCTTTTTCTGCTCTTTAATCTCATTAGAATTAAATGAGTTAATACTTATAAAGCATTAATAACATTCCTTGCAAGTAGGGAATGCTATATGTAAAGCAAACAAGTAACCAAACCAAACAAAACAAAACAAAAAAAACCTGTTTAGGGACTTTATAAGGAAGTCTTCTTAATGAATCTGCATTTGTTTTAGTGGTGTGAAGAACAAATAATTCTGACTCTTACATTATTCCCTGAAGCATTTTTATGTCTACCGTATAATAACAAAAAGGCAAGAGGATGTAAAATTCTATTATAAGAGTGTTGTGAACATTAACAGATGCTTCATGAATTTATTTAGGAAAGGATAGAGAAAAGGTAAACACAGGTTATGGTAAGATTATAGACAAAAAGAGATGTTATAGACAAGGAGTTTTTGTCTATAAAAACACCAAAAAAACTTACTCAGAATCATATTTAACCATTAAAAAAATAATGGCATGTTACCTCTCGTGTTCCTCTACTCTAAAGCAGTCAAGAAAAAATAAAGACTAAATTTAAGGAAATGTAGGAATGTCAGAAACAAAGAAAAAAGATCAATGCAGAGCTCAAAAAACTGGTTTTCTATGCTTTCACTTCTAATGAGTACAATGGCATAGTTATTGCACCTTTTAAAACGAAAGACCAAGGAGGTAGTAAAAGAGTGGGATTCATAGCCCAAAGGCTTAACTATCCATTGCTTCCACAGAATTAAATAGAACCTAACCAGTAGCTCCTTATAACACTATGGTTTTGCCAACATTTATCCTGGCCAAGTATAAGTTAAATTTACTTCCCTTCATTTAATTCTCTTTCTGTTCTTAGCAAAATCCTCTTATTTCCTCTTCTGCTCTAATCAATCTCCAGCTAACAGAATTTTCCCCATTCCAATAACTGGGTGAACTATGAGAGGATTCCAAAAGTACATAAAGACAAAATAAGCATATATACATATATATATATATATATATACACACACACACACATATATGTATGAATTTGCTTGACAACTGAAGAGTCTTTCTAAAAAAAAAGTTCTTAGATGTTCGTATCCTTTCTCATTAACATTTACTGATAAAAATGAAAATATTCAGTGACCCTATCTTACAGTCAGAATCACTGGTGCATGTGTTCTGGAATTCTTCCACACAATTAACAAAACAGTCTTTGGGAGAAAGGAGAATATTTCTAATAACAGACTTATCACAACATTCAGTGCAGATTTACAGTGATTCCTACCTTTTCACCACTTGAGTAGAAGAAATAACGCAAACGAACTATGTTACAATGATCCAACTTTCTCATAATCTGGAGCTCTCGGTTCTGAAAAGGAAACACACAAAAATGAAAATTTTTTTTTAAAATGTTTAAGAGTGGTTAATCATATCAACCAAAATGTTTCCAAAGTAACATTAAACAAATAATACAAACAGTAGGCTAATAGCTATGCCACTGTCTAGAATCTTATAAAAATGCAACAGAATTTGATATCTATGAATCTGGTAATAAGCTTCCATTAAAGAAATGATTTTGGGGTCAAAGAAAGTTCTTACAATACTATTAAGACACCATGAAGAATACTGAGTTAATTTCATGAAAAGACCTCAGTTGCTAAGCTTCAGAAAAATTAAAAACTGGAATCGTACTATTTATGTAGTCCTGATGGATTGACAGACCACATAATTTTCCCTCTGTAAAGTTTCAAAGTTATGTTCATTCTTCATGAAAAGAAAACACTACAAAATTTCTTAACAAAAATATATTAAAATGTCAGCTGTATAGCCATAAAATGGGACTTTAGTTAACAGCTACAAAACATGACATATATTCCAGGAAATGCGGGAGGCAAATATTATTATAGTTAGAAAGTAGACATAAAGGGATGAAGCTGTGGATGAACAGGAACCAAGCAGACTGAAACACAGAAGTATCCTAAAGAAAGGTAGCTCTCGTTTTTAGAAGGTGTGGACGTAAATAAACAAACAGTTTAAACTGACTTTAGAACTGGAGTTAGATATATAGTGACACCTAAAATTCCTTTATAAGACATTAAGTTCTTATTCCATTACTTGTAAAATGAATAACTGAGACAATAAGCATAAGGGTAGACAATATAATGCAACAGTAGCTGATATAAAACTCTAAATGAAAAAAACCTTAATTTTTAACTGCTAAAACGAAGAAAATTTAAAAATCTCAAAATTGCGTCATTTCTATTCCAATTTTATGTTATTCCTGGAATGTTTCTACATGTTGACAACTTATTTACACAGTTAGCTCTGAAAGAAACATTCTAGAAAGCAAAGGCTTATCTTTCCCATATGTTGACACTACAATTTGATTGGTTTTTTAAAGATAAAAAATAAAATACGCTATTTATTCTTTCAGACACGTTAGCCAAGCTACAGAACTTTTAAATTCACAAATAATAAAGTTACATAAGACTGGGTCTTGGGCCTGGTGCCATGGCCTAGTGGCTGAAGTCCTTGCCTTGAGTGTGCCAGGATCCCATATGGGTACTGGTTCTAATCCAGGAAGCTCCACTTCCCATCCAGCTCCCAGCTTGTGGCCTGGGAAAGCAGTCAAGGACAGCTCAAGGTCTTGGGACCCTGCACTCGTGTGGGAGACCCAGAAGAGGATCTGGGCTCCTGGCTTTGGATAGGCGCAGCACTGGCCACTGTGGTTATTTGGGAAAGATCTTCCTCTCTGTCTCTCCTCCTCCAATGAAAAGAAATAAATCTTATATTAAAAAAAAGTTATTTGTTTAAAAAAAAATGGGTCTTGGGGGGTGGTGGAGAAGGCTGGGCCAGACCACAGCACCTGTCATTGCACGTGAGAGCCAATCCAGGGAGGCAGTGGGCCTGCAAGGAGGCCTCAAGGAGTGTTCTCCCGCTGCAATAAAGCACAGGGTCTGAGTGTGTGCTGGGCAAGGCTACAGCATCTTCTGGTTCACATAACAGCCCAGGTCTAAATTTCCTGCCCTGTGATTGGTCCATTGCCCTGATTGGTGTGCCTTGGTGATCTTTAAGCTGATTGGACAGGACTGATATATAAGCTGGGGCTTGGCGGGGGAGGGGCTTCAGCGTAATGGAAGTTTGGAAATAAAAGCACCTTGGAGACTCTCTCAAGTGTCGGGTGATTTCTTCTGCAGCATTGGAGGACCCCGATAGCGGGCCAGGCCGGTCTACGCTGCAGCATTTGCTGGCATTTTTGAGAGCTGGTTCTGGGAGTAGGCCTGGAAGGGGTCCTCAGAGATCTCCCAACTAGGTTGTAACGGCTGCTGGTACAGTAAGTAAGGGTCAGGTCTTCAGGAAACTGAATCTAGACAAGGGCCTGGCTGGGATTACTGGAGTTCACCTTGACCAGGACACAGCACCTGCCAGTACACAAAAGGCTTGGTCTAGGCACAGGCTGGGCTGGACTGCAGGGCACACCACATTGACATCTGATCTGACCTCCGGGCACATGATATAGGACTGGGCACATTGATGACTGGGTAAGGGCAGACAACTTACTGAGATGCACATGAAAGACAAGACAGCCAGCCTCTTGGATTCAACAGAGGAACTTGAGTGCCTCACCAAAAACTGGAAAGAACAGCCTGAATAATGCTACAGGCCAGATTCTCCACCAAACATCCAAGGTTATAGAAATTTGGAAACAAAAGACAACCAGCAAGTATGGGAAGCAGTATCTCAAACCTGGTGCTATGAAGCCAACACAGTCTCAGAACAACTGAGACTACTTAAGTAATACCCTCAATTCATTCTATTTCCCGCTTACAGGGTCCCTGAGATGAAACCAGAACATTTTAGTCCCTTGGCACTAATGTGATCTGGCAGCAAGGAATGGTACATTTCCCTCTATCCCCCTGCTCCCATCCATCCCGTGGTCACAGGAGGGAGGTTGGGTAAATTCATATTCTACACATTTAGAAAGAAAGTTGAAATTTTCTCACTTTAAAATCTTGCATCCTCCTGGATTCCATATGGCCACAGGTTCCTATCCAGCTGCTCCATTTCCCATTCAACTCCCCATTTATGGCCTGGAAAAGCAGTCAAAGATGGCCCAAAGTTTTGGGGACCTATACCTACAAGGGAAACTGGAGAGAAGCTCCTGGCTGCTGGCTTTGGATCAGCTCAGCTCTAGCATAAGGCCACATGGGGAGCAAACCAGAATATAGAAAATCTTTCTCTCTGTGTATCTCCTTCTCTCTGTATATCTGCCTCCCCCTCAAAAAAGGTAAATCTTTTAAAAATTTTCTTAGATTCCAAATATAACCTTAACAGAGCAATTTTTGTATGCATTATTAAAAGCCAGTATTGGTCAAATGAAGTTTCATATTTTGTTTAAAATTACATAATTGATTTGAATATATAACTAGCATGATTTTAGTTATCTTTGTTAACTTGTTTTATGAGCTAACTAATGACACATTGTATCAGAAACACTGGTACCATAGAAATACAATACACCTACTCTGTGCCAGGCTCTGTCTGATGTTAAAAATATGACAAGAGCAACACCAGAAAATTCCCTATGCTCTTAAATCCAAATGTCTACAGAAGAAAAGGAACTGTAAATACATAGCAGAATGACATGAAGCTGAGAACCATATGAGGAAAAGAGCTGAGGGAAAAGTAATAAAGGATTCCAAATGTAAACACCTTCAGGTGCACTTGGCATATTCAACATAGTGTCACATGCATTACCTGGTTTCATCATTATTAGGAAGAGGAGAGAGCAAGAAAATAATGCAAAAAAAATAGGCAGGTGCAGTAACACAAATCATCATCAATCCTAGAAAAAATGGAATTTTATTTTAAATTCATAAGAAAACCATTAAATTTTACTTTAAATGTAAGGAGAAGCCAAAGCATTTTGAGATAAAAATTGAGATAAGGAACTCTGAAGGAGAAAGTAATCAATAATTCTGTTCTCTATCTGAAAAATTTTAAATCCTTATCAAACACCCAAGTAAGGTTCAAAGACTGGAAATATACATTTGGGACATCTATAAAAGGGGATTTATGTCAAGTAAGCCTAACAAGTAATTAATCACCTAAGAAATTCATACAGAAAAAAAAATAATGGAGTGAAAAGTAGATAAGTAGAATAATTAATGCAGAGAAAAATGAGAAAACTTAAAAAAAAATCTTCCTATCTCTTCTCTATATATCTTACTTTCTAATACAAAAACAAAAACAAAAACAAAAAAACCTTAAAACACAGAGCTGAGTTCTGTTTGCGACAATGATCCTCCACATTATATTAAAGTAATTACCCTTAGGAAGTTAAAATTAAAATCCAGAATTGCTACATTTTCAAAAATGTCTGATTTTTAAAAACTGAGGAGTATCAACAAGAAAAGTTGATCTCTACTCATTTTTAATGCAGTCAACAGAAATTCGTTCTTGATGGATACAGAGGATAGGCTTGGCAAAAAAAAAATACAACAGTTACTACGATTATAATCAAACAATTAAAGAAAATTTTATTTTTAAGAGGAAGGTCTTATGGTTCCACAAAACAAAATGTAAATCACTTCATGATCTCATTCAGTACCATCAATTTAATCCTATCCTCCACTCCAGACCAATGGAAACTATACATTATAGCGAGATAACTACTTCTCATTCATCCAGAATGCACTATCGGATTCCCCATTCTAAGCCACTGATCACACTCACCATTACTGGAATGTCAGGATGTACCTCCATAATTACATACATGCTATCTTTCCTTTAAGTTTCTAAAATGCATTCCTCCCTCTGCTACTGTAATTCACATTAATCCTTTCCTGCAGCACTTAGAAACTTTTGAATTTACTGTATAATCTGCTGAATTTTATTTTTTAGAATTTTAGTGAAACTATGAGTACTTTTCAATAGTGTATATCACTATAAAGTCACATGCCCACATGCCTTATCCAAACTACTTACTACAAATGCCTAAACAAAAAAATATAGAAAAACACTGAATTTTACACATTATCATCCACAGACTTCTCAAGGCAGGCTACCAACTTCTTATGGGAAACAAAGCAAGCAATTTCTTTCTTCCGTTTTACAATCACACTGACTTCTTTCCCTACTCTCCGTCCACCCCTACTACCCATAATAAGCTCTGACTACAAAATAACAGTAGAGTTCACTGGGTTAGGTATTTGATTTGGACACAAGAAGCAGTTAAGTTCACGTTAGAACACATTCACTTTGAAATGACTGAAGGGCACAGTTGGTTTCAGAGAAAGAGAAGCCATAGCAATTCATTTAATCTGCTTACAGAATAAGAATTACTTTCCTGAACACTAGAAAAATTTA